TTCGTCTGAGTGACACCGAGACGTTTAGGAAACGAATGAACTAACCAGCTGTCTCACGAATGCGTCCACTGACTGAAAGCGCTTATGGTTGTTTTTGAAAGCACGAAAACTATCGAACAACTACAAGTTATTCGCCTCTGCATTATTGTTACATAGTTGTCGATGTTTGAAGCTGGCAGCGATGGTCGATCGATTGCGTTCAGCTGTTGTGATAGATAAAATTAGCAACTGTGCACACGTTCAGTTCGATGCGTTGGTCACAAGTTCAAATGAGACTAAAATGTTCACACTACCTGTGACAGTGGAATTGATGAGCAAAATATAACGGGGAAACCCACCGGTTTATCATGGTGTTCAGCTGAACGACAGTATGTATGTGAGAACTGTCCGTCAGACAAATAACGGTCTTTGTTAATATAAGTAAATAAAGACCAATGATCTGTCACGCACTAATACGCGAAGTACGCGGCCCCATTGCAGTTAGTTTCAAACAACCAACAACGATCAGTACATGAGATTTGTCAACACAAACGTGAATAGTCGAGTCATAGGTGGAAACAAATTTTATTATCAATCATGTGTGCAAAAATGAAGATTGGCGCGCCGGTTTACTATTTCAAAATATTTTTAAAAAGAGGATAAATGGGTTATAGAAGCGTAATGGCCGAGCAAACACACAGAAGATATTTGGCCAACTGGATCTTTCTAAAAATGCGCTAGATAGAACGACTTCACTTGTAGATATGAGCACTGTTCAACCTGAGTACGTAGATTCAAATATGTTGTGAATGTGCACTCAGAAATCCACCCTGGTGAGTTTTTATTCAGATCAGAACACGCACCTGAACTTCTGGAATGTGTTGATGGAATCATTGCAGTTTCAGCAACAGACAACAAATTCGGTCAAATTTCTGTGATTTTCGTTTGCACAGTCTACTTCTTCTGCTTTGTTGGGCTCTATCGATTGAACCTTACGTCGAAAGATAAAGATGAACCGCATTCAACGCAGCCGTATCACAATTGTGTCTGAATTTGAAACTAAATTTATAATTCATACTTAGAGTTGAACTTGAAAGTAGAAGTGCCAAATGGATCAATCCAGTTTCTCGTTAACTTGCGAAGTAACTTACCAGCAGCTTGTTAAGTTTATGCAAGCTGACTGGATACAAAAAGGGTTGGAGAGGGTACCGTCAAGCAATCGGATTAGGAGTTCAGTAATGCACGATCTGAGGTTTGGAAACAAATGACCAATGTTTGGTCAGTAGGAATTAGGGACAGGATCTTCCATGGACGCAACAAGGGCAAACGAGATAGGGAAAACGATAGATACCGAAATTCACTTTGTCACTTCAGTATACGATTCCCACAGTCATCTGTGAAACACAGGTGCCGAAAGCAGAGGCTGGCTTTGGTTGGCAGGCAAGTTGAAGTGGTTTCTATTCTGCTCGCGAACGGGGGTGTCCGCTCACAGATATCGAGTACGAAGACGACAGGGGCGAGATGGCTCATGTGATTAGAGCGCGAATTTACTGACCGGAAGGTCCGTGATTCAAACCCGACCTCTGCCTCTCGATTTCCCCTGTCTAGGCTTTGGCAATTTGACAGTATCCCGGCCCTCGTGTCTCGACGAAGACCACATAGCTCTTCTTGGATCTGATGCCGTGGTAATGCAAACAGCATTAAATAATTTAAACCATTCTGCTTCAAGGTTTGACACGCGCTTACACACAAAGCGTGAGGTTGCTACTGCAAGACTGTGGGGGCTCGAACTCTAGCTTCATGCTTGCAGATAAGCCGCTTGGGATAGTAGACAAGTTTGTCTACCCGGGTAGCTGTATCAGTCCGGGTGGTCTCGCGATAGACGATATTTTCTTCTGGAGTGGGAAGGACAGAGAAGCTTTCATGAACCTGCATCACCTCTGGCGTAGGTGTGATATCAGATTGTCCGTCAAGGACCGAGTTTATAGTGCTGCGTTGCGCTCCATATTATTATACGGGCTGGAAGTCTGGATGCTGCGCGCCGAGAACGTTAAAAGACTTTCAGTGTTTGGCCACCGATGTCCTTAGAGCATTGCCCGAGTCTGATGGGAACACTGGATCGCTAATTCTGAAGTATGTCGAATAATTTTTGGAGGAGATAACTCGCCCACAATAGATGAACTGATCACACTCCACAGGTTGGGTTGGTTTGGCCACGTGCTGAGTATGCCAGTCAACCGACTTCCTCGGAGGACTTTCTTTGTAAAACCACGCGGAGGTCAGAAACGAGCAAGGTGAGGATAAACACTGATTTTGTAGCAGCAAACTCAGCTGCATTGATCATCAGCGTCTCCCTGGATGCGGACCGGTAGATGGGACAAATCAATTATTAGAGATCTCGTCAGACACGGCCCAGTCGCGCCCTCAATGGCGATCGTGCACCCAAGCTATTGCTTTCAATGCATGGCTCCCTTCTCAATCCCTCAAATGAAAGTCCACTGACAGACTTGTATGCATGCACCAATTTATCAACTCCCGCCTCCAATGCGCAGCTATTTACCCCATCTCCCCAATCATCGGTGAACAAAATTGTGGCAGCTACAACCACTGTACGACAAGTACACGGTTCTTACAGCTGATAATCACGACGATGATGATGTGAGCAGTCATCACAAGCTTTTAGCATGCAAACCTTGGTTTCATCGTTTTTCGAATGAGTCATTTTAAAATCGTTTTCGCTATCCCGACACAAATGACAACAAACACTTAACCAAACACAGAATTATGTCGTTTGGTTACATCATATTCTTCTCTTCAGAGGCTCATCTCCCAAGGATGTGTATAAATTTCAGAAAACATCCACTTTCAAACTTTATATTATAGTCTGTAAAATCTGACAGCTTTCCAGATTAGTCTGTAGCCATTTTGTGTGGCCTACTGAAATTTAAGAATGACATGATCGAGGTGAAATGTCNTAAATTTCAGAAAACATCCACTTTCAAACTTTATATTATAGTCTGTAAAATCTGACAGCTTTCCAGATTAGTCTGTAGCCATTTTGTGTGGCCTACTGAAATTTAAGAATGAAATGATCGAGAGTGAAATGTCCTGGGGCGGAGGCATCTTGGATTTTCGAACAGAGCGGGAATGAAAAAGCTAAAGCGGGTAGCGAACTTCTGAAGATTTGTTTTCGTACATTCGGTACCATCAGCCAAGCCACTACGTCTGGTTTTTGTCAGCAAGGCAAAAACACAAACGAAGACACGAGCAACCCTATGAGAACTTCGGATAAAGCTGGATAACATGAACCCAAGACAGTAACGAGCAACTCCACAGATTTCAACAGGAATATAACACCGATTTAGGACTCTTTACCAGCGAGTCTGAAAGCGTCGCTACAGGCAGGTTCCAGCCCGTATGACTGCACTCCAGTCATTATGAAGGATACAGACCAATGGATGTACTCGACTTCGCAAGAAGTGGATTACTTTTTGCGCACAGCCTACAAAATTCATTGTGTGGGAGTATCACCATAGACAGCAATACACCACTATTAAATGATGGTGCTAAAACGGAATACAACCACAAGGGAAGCACAGATGGAGAATTGTTCAGAAAAGTCCTATGTCCATATAGAAGACAGTCACTACAGTGTGAAGTATCGAACAATGAAGAGAATGAGTGTTTTGCCCTTTATTGGTTTCCTATTTTTTCTTATTCAATCCTAACTGGGGGTAGAAAACACACGCCATTCACCAGATGATACATCTGGTCATATCGCTAAGTGTCTTCGGTGTCTCTCGGACCCTAACCGAAAAGCTGAGATGGACCCATCACAGTCATGTCTGTAGTTAAATTCTCCATTCTTTTCCACCAAGCCGTCGGCTGACCAACTCTTCTTTTTCCAACTTCTGCGAGCAACCATGAGTAGTGAATGGTGAAGTGGTCCGTGGTCAAACAAACGCGGAACATGCCCCGAACATCTTATTCGGCGATGTGAAATCATTCCCCGCAGGGCTAATTCGTTACTCACACGATGCTTTATCCAGATGCGAGCAACGATGCACAAATAACGGTCCACAAAAATCGATAGTTCGTTCTTGGTCAAACAGTCATTAATTAAAACTGAGCGCACGGCTGCGTCGAATGAAGGCGGAACATCATGCGAATACTAACCTTGACCTAGGTGTACGCTGTGCAAGCTCATTTTGGATTTTGGATATCTCTACCAGCTGCGTAGCACCCACCAAGACATCCAAAAAGTGTCGAGAACTTCTAGTACATTGTCCCTAAGGATGATCATAGACGATGTGATCCAATCTTCGGAAATTACACTTCGAGGGTGCAAAACATATGCCATATCGTATAACGTTGGTCGAAAGACGATTAAGCTAGATCTATCACCCAGTAAAAGAATGTCATTTGCGAACTCCACATCTGTAATTCGTGTCCACAAGAACAGGCGTCAACAAGGTAGGATGCCGTCGACAGGAAAATACGCGTGAAAATACCCTGCTGCACACCGTTAGTGGTAAAAAGTGGCGATAGTTATTCTCCATAGGCCCTAATTTATCAGATATCTGTTCGTATAAAGCCTTAGGCAAGCGATGAACTCATCCGGTACTCAGGCCCATATAGACAGTCCTCAGCAAATCTAAAGATACACTTTCTTACGGAAAGACTATAAATGCCAAACCAGTAAGTTACTTGAAGCCGTAGTAATTGTTAAACGAGATTGAAGTTCGTAAGAAACAATGCAGAGAAGAACTTCATTAGATGAATGTCTTATCCTACACATCAAGAATTTAAGTAGATGGTTGGTCTGCTTTCTCTCCACAGAGAAGCTCTTCAAATTTCGCCGATGTATTCATTTGTCTACACTGTTTTATTCTCAAACTTACCATCTGTGCTTGTCAACTTTGCCATCCTCCATGTGCGCACGACTGCATCTTATGACGTCATCCGAACTTTGGAATAAACCACCCAAAAGTGGAACACGTTATGGTGACACTGAAACTCACCGTAAACGAACCGTTCCTTCCCCAGTGTATACATGCCACACACTACGACAGTATTGGGATATTTTTCCAACTGAACACGGGTCACTTCTACAGCACCTGCGATGATCACTTGTTGAGGAGGGAAATCATACTGTGACGAACAATACCTGTGTGAAAATAGTAATACTTCTTTTTTAAGGATGTAGAAGCAAATAAAACGACTACCCATGAAACTAGCATGGTTTGTGATAAGACAACGCAACGATCACCGGTTAAGAATCACGAATGTCTGGAAAGCAGTTTGAACTACGCTTCCGCATTATTGTTTTAGTCATTTCATCCGCATAAATATGCTAATGGTAGTCATAGCATAAGTTCAGTCTATACACATCAAATCTTTTTCATAACTAAGGATGTTATGTAACCCTGTTTTTTACATCCGACAACATGGACTTCAGTCCAGGATAATTGGTATTCAGTCTCGGGACGTGTGAAAAATTAAGCAGCCTCGAGCGCTCTATGCGCAGTCCCAGAGGACATGTAGTGTGCTCAACTTCGATCGGGCTTGAATCAATCGGAAAATATAAACCATTCACCGTTCATCCTACTCCGATAGAATGATGGTATGCCTTTAATAGCGATTAAAAATTCACCGACTGCAGATGATGAAGGTCAATATTCCTTTATAGTTGCAATCTTATTGCAATGTTACCCATACTAGAACACGTTTGAACGATTTTCCTTTCCTCTTGGGTCAGCCTCGGTCCTCGAGTTCTGCTGCTCATTGATCTAAATCCGACGGCTTGAATGACCATGCACACCTGCTACAGCAAAGCAAACATCGAAGACCGTAGTCTGAGAAACTATTGCTTCAAAAGCCTAACTTTGTACTGTCATGAGCTGATTAGGTGGTGCCCTCTCAGCACAAGAGTTTCAGAACGAGTTGTTCCTACAATTTGTCGCGGTAGTTTTTTCCGACTTCTGCTGAGGTTGCTCATTGTCACTGGGACGTAGACCGCCAAAGTTATTCAAAATATCTAACTTTCAAAGTATCCACATACTTCTCTCAGTTCGAGGTTTTTTGGAAGCCAACAACGGAATTTGTCGTGTAAAACAGGACAACTTTATGATTATGTCGCGCAGTGTGACAGTCCCACCCCAATGTATCTCAAGGTGCAGACCTGTATTGTTCCAGATAAACTTGTATATCCCAACAGTGGTCGACAGCCTTTTATTAAACAGTACGATGCAAAGGTATTCGTAATGCACTACTCATAAGGTTGCATCACAAGACCTTTGCACCGTAATACGCATATTTTCAAAACATTTGGTTTTGCGAGAGACTCATCTGGAACCCAACTGAATCTCCCATTTGTGATCTTTCCAGGCCCCAATAAGGGCGAAACTGGTCGCGGGCTGTCGTAGAAATTTCAGCAACCTTATGAGTAGCGCATTACGAATATACATGTATCACGATATCTCGAATATCGTGGCAACTGAAACACGAGGCGGCCTAGTGCAGCGTATTTAGTTGCCCGGAAACTCACAAACGAGTTAGGTTCCAGATGAGTCTCTCGCAAAACCAAATGTTTTGAAAATATGCGTATTACGGTGCAAAGGTCTTGTGATGCTTTCGTTTGCCGTTTTCAAACGGTTATATGTAAGTGTTATTCTTTTGTATAAAAGCCACCCATAAGTAAACTTCAGGCAAAATATGTGGATCGAATAGGCGAGACATACATCTGAAAACGTTGCAAGTCGATAAACCTTCCGGTCGTAAGGTCTACAAAGTCCACAGATGATAGCGAGGATACGGTAAAGTGATCGTCTAAAACAGTTACTAGAGACCAAGTTCACTGTAGTGAAGTTAGGGTGCTTGCAATAAACAGTCCAATAAATTTCAGAATATTGGCATTAGACCATAGCCAACCTTAAAAGAACTTACACACCACACGTTTGCTACATAGAAAACGACATAGAAGTAATAATGCGCACAGAACTTGATCGGAAAGCATTAGGTGGAATCAAGTGTCACATTAATATAACAAATGTAAGACTTCTTAATCTACTCTGACTGGAAGTAAAGTAATGCAAAGGACCTACGTGGTATCCAAGTATACTGTATGCAGTTGCGGAATCGCTTTACCCGAAACGGGAATCAAATGCATCCCAACAATATCTGCCAGCGGACTGGGAGGTAGCAACATGTCAAGATGGAACCGAAAGTCGCCAGTGTGTAAGATGAACCGCTTCATTGATTTCAGATGGAATAAAAACATCACCGATCCAGGACAACTGGAAAAAAAGATTAAATACCTGTTCTTAAAGTATTCCGTCATCTCCCAAAGGGCTGTCATCTTAATCCAGTAGTTATAGGATTGGTTCAGGCAGCACAGAGGGCTTTCAATCCTCTGTGGAAGCATTATTTACCGGGTGAGCAACTGGCTTCAATACATATTCCTGAAAATATACCAGTAAGAGACGGAGGTATACAATTTTGATGTTCACAGAACATCTGAGAATGAGGAAGACAGAATTCGGCAAAGCTCGAGTTACAAGTCAATACACAGTGTGAACTAAGAGGCCGATGCCTAAGACAAGTTAGACCACCGACTCCAGTGTCCACGCACCTGATAGATGCTTCGACATGTGAAATACCGATGCCATGTTCGGATATGCGAACTTCACAAATAATTCGCTACTAACATACTCAATGGATTAACTGTGAAGATCTTCAGCACAACTGAAGAGTTCCTTGCTTAACTTCTACAAATAATTGTCCGAAAAAACACAAGTACCAGAATTGGAAATCAGCGAACAATTACATATACCGCTAGGTCAACCGTCGATTAGAATACCAAAACTCGACCTACAGACAAAGTGGAAGGAATAGCATTCTCTTTTCTGAAGAGAATAACCTAGTCCGTAGGGCATACAGATACTGCGAGAATTTATTTCCCAGAGTACGTTCACCTAGGGTATCCTCTCTTCCAGGACTGAAGCATGGAAACTTATTTCCGGTTTTGTTTGTGGAAATTTTGTCCATTAACTCAGCTTGAAGCACTACACAACCTTGATGTTGTTAGTGTCATACCCGCACACCGTCACCTTTTCCAACAAACGATACGTAAAATTTCAACGGGCGTCAACGTATTTGAACACATTACTTGCAACGAGTCGAATTCCGAGAGTGTAGATAAAGCCAAGTTCGACTAGCGACGTTTCCACAAGAAACTGTTGTCAGAGTCAAATGTCGTGTGATTACAGCAGAGTAGATATAGAGCATCGCACCACATCTTATTCGACTGTTGAGTGACAGGAGATTAATTAAGACAGCTGGTTTGAGTGAGTGTAAATGATTTCTGATCGGGCCGACCGCGTTGGATGTGAGCAACACCACATGCCTAATTTTTTACTGCTAGTGTCGTAACGAGTTAGAAAAAGTGTACGAGTAGTCCATAAGCCTCTGACCATGTTCTTTTAACCACACACATTTTTAGTTTGTCCAGTTATTCTACCCTCCTTAGAACAAGAAAAGGATCGCAAAAGGCAACTTGACAGTCCCAAGGGATGCATGCCGAGGACAGCTGGTGCGACTCAAGATGCACAAACGTTACACTACCTAGAATGAGACAGTAGTATAGTTTCCAAGATAAACCACAGCACCATGGACCGAGCCAAGCATTAAGGCCAGTGCCAGCATGGAATAATCGCAGTACCTTTCGGTGTCGAGTGAGTGTGTTCTCAAAGTTTTCCACTTTACTCTAAGTAGGCTACTCACAAAAACCTTGTGATCGGCCGTAGGAACACCTGTAAATTATGCCTATGAAGCAGTATGGCAAAGCACTCTTGGTCTATAGAAGGAAACATTCTTAGGCGGCCAAAACTCCTTTTTCTTTGGGGCTGATGTCTGAATGGAAGGTTCAGAAACAGGAATTAATCGCTGCTGTGAAAAGTTACGCTCTAATAGTGACGAGTTTATACAGAAATTGCCAGTATTCCAAGAGGAAAACTTTTGTATTGTAAGGTTTTACAAGTCTATTTTCAAACAAGACGAAATATGTGCAGATCTGTTCCATTAATTCTTAAAAGACCCTACCTTCCTTCTTTGAGTAATTTAACCCTCATCCTTCCGTTTCCCGATGTACTTTTAGTTGTCAACCAGACTCAAAAACCAAAATCGGTTGATAAATCATACACCGATTTTCCGGACTATTTCGATAGAGCATACCTCCGGCCATTTGAAGGAGAGACCATGGAGTTCCATGGGGAACCCTCCAGTAAAATCATCTCGCCATTGCGGTAGTTTAGATGTGAACTGCCTACAGGAGAAAACTGAGGCTCAGTTGTAACTTCATAACTCGCTTCGATTAATTTCGCTTTACACAGTAAATCAAATGAGATCAAATCACGACTAATTTCCGACGAATTTAGCTATTCTATTTGTGCGAGAGTGTTGTTCTGTGGCAATACTGTTTCCTGCCTGCCAGCACAGAGGATTAACATTATAAAAAATCGACTCGAGTTCCTTAGGTGTTTTTTTAACAACAAGTGAATACTGTATTCATAATGTGGAAAAATTTTGAAGCCGATTTGAGTGTTTATACGAGTCGGTTTTCTTATCAATAGGATGCACTGTATTGGGATTGATAAGTCTGGTGTCATGCCGGAGAATGACGAGATAGATGAAACGATTTTGTGGAATACTGATGAAACGAGAAATGACAAAAGAATACAATAACCAAGTATCAAACAGGTTTACTGTAAGTCTCACTGATTTGCATCCATGGCGACCACGTCTATTCCACAAATAGGAAAACTCTCATTCAACGGAATCGCCACGACTTTGAGGTTTCCGCCGAATTTGATGCGTACGAGGGATTTTGTTACCTGTGTTGATAGGAAATTATTTAATCGTCTTACCGCACTGCAATAGATCGTGCCTGGAAATGAGGCTGAAAGACCGTTATAGTGATCACTGTGGAAATGGGATAGTATGTATGCCTCACACCCTTTTATTACTCCATAGTTGAAAGCATCTACAGTCAGTGGTGTGTCTAATGAGGAGGAAAATAATAGAAGGGAGCTATGTCGAACCTGGTATCCACTTATAGAACGGACAAGGTTTTGATTTAGTATACTTCTGGAACGCAGGGGGATCGCTCGCTTTCTGTTTTACCGGACGAACTCTAATAGACTTTGACCCGTGTGTATCTATTTTGAGATTCGAGGTCGCACCACCGTTGAATGAGATCGAAGTTTCAGAAAATTTCGAATGAAAATATGACAGTAGAGATTCGCCACGATATTGTTCGCTCCGTGACTTCATCCCCGATTATCGAACTTGATGCTAGAATGCGTAGACTAGTTGACAAAGGGTGGGCAGATATTCTTCTGCTTGATGGAAAAGTATATGGCTGAAACGAGAAAAAGGAAGCAGTCGTTACACGCCCTCATATTCTTACGGAAAAACAGTTCTCATACAAAATGATACTCTCCTGCGTTTCTCACTGAATATCAATAAACCGATCAACCACCGTTTCATTTTAATTCATAACACAGCGGTTTTGCTGTCCATATTATGGATTTTTATGACTGAATCTCTAGCAAGAACTCGAGACTGGAAAGTGTGGATGCCCTCCAGTTCTTGATAAGTTTTAGCTAGATATTATAGGATGCAAGGTAACCCCGATGAACTTGAACAAGGCAGTGAAAAAACAAGGTCACGAAATGGATTTACTTCGCTTACTAGAATCCGCCGCAGCATATGATACATAATACAAGGCGGTTTTCAGCATATATACAACTTTAAAACAACGAGGCAAAACAATGAAACCAAAAGTCAAAAAGTTACCCCTAATTCTTTCTAATTGCAAATGTTAGGCCTGAAGTGACTAATCAATATGGCTTCAACGAACTTTAACCTTTGCGGCCGCCTACTTTGGTCTACGGCTTTGAACGAGGTGAGTTTATATCTGTGTGCTTTGTCGATTAGAAACCTAACGATCAAGGGTTTGACACTGGATTCGATCCACGTTAAGGAAGGATCGGCAAATACGATAGGGGATTTTTTTAGCACGTGCTTATTTGTTCACGCTTCAAGTCTCATGTCAGTTATTATCATCGCAACTGCAGGTGAGCTGATTAATGCAATGAGTAGCAGATGAAGCTAAAGTCGGCATCTTGATTGGCGGCAATAGCACAGCCGGTATGTATGCTTTCACACGCAGTTTTATCGCATTATAAGTCCGACTCAGGGATACGTTTAGTGTCTGTTTAAATACGATAAAGGCATGCTCACTGGTGTAAGGGACAATAATGTAGATGCTATTTTTCGATACTGTGCGTAGCAATCTCGGTTCATCTCTCGGAGCGAGCTACTTTCGATGAAGCGCTTAGGTAGTTATTTGACTGCGGTTGTTTCCCCCACGACATGCAAATCGGTCAAGCTCTATGACATAAAATCAGCAACCACACGCGCTTGTGCCGTAACACACAGCGTCCAGTCCAAGAAAGCGAGACATGGTACCGCTGTTATTCCTGGCGGTCAAAACGTCCAAAAACCGAAGTCTGTTGTTCTCCTCAAACCCCTAAGAAATGAGGGTTGGGATTCTTTTACATGATTTCTGTACATTCGTATCCTTCATTCTTCCCTCTGAGGCTAGGGGTCAGTGAGAATACTTAGGTAGTTATGGTTGTCCACTCATACGCCGATCACTTCATTCACAAAGGCCTGCATGTACGCGTTATGGTCATAGTAAGAGCAGGTATCACTGTGCGCCTCCGTGTAACCGTCACAAATCAGTCCATCCACGGACCGTTGGCGCCGCTTACGCCCAGTTGGAGACTGAGTGTGCACATGTGCATCACGTTTGGGCAAACTACCCAGCGGTAAATGTCGATTTCCAAATTCCGAAGACACAAACAGAACACAGGGTAACTGAAGGAATCGGGAACTGGAAGCAACAGAGAACGATGGGATCGTTCACGTATGTACGGGCTTCCCGAACGTAGCTGCGAATTATATCCTAGGAAGGCTATCTCACTTTATTATTTGCAAGAGAGCAGTAAGGGAACGTTTCTAACCAGTCAGCGCATTCATGACTTTTATGCTTTCAATCATCTCAGAGGAGTGGTAGCTAGTAACTTGGACTGCTTGAACAATGAAACACAAGATTATTGTATGAAAATTATGAATTGGTGTGTAACGGTTACTTGACACTCTGGGACGATTACATCTGCGTGAAAATAATTCAAATACATTTGTATGGCCAAACGTGAGCAGTCAGCGGAAGCCAACATAAAACAAGTACCTTGGTATAGAAGATATTCAAATATTTTATTACAGACTGCAAGAGACAGGCTGACCACTTGTTCTTTGTTTTTAACAATTCCCACCATAGCACTGCCAGTATTGGAATGGACACTGTAATGCAAATGAAATCACATTACTGGCTCCTTCGAACCACCTTCTACGACCTCTTCAAACATAGTATCTGGAGAGATTTATACCGGCAAATAGAATGTAAACCTCAAATACCCATCCATAGAAAAAATAAAGCATGAAACATTCGTACTGAAACGTGAGAAGGCAACAGGACTGAAAGGTATCTATCTCGCACTATCCAAGGAAGCCGGAGAATATCTAGTGACCCATCTAATCAAGCTCGCTGGTGTGATACGGAACGAAGAAAAAGTGCCTGCATGTCAACAGTCATTCCTATCTTCAAAAAGAGCACGCGGACGCTGTGCAAAAACCACCGTAACATCAACCTGGTAGCTGTGGCTTTATCTATCGAAAGTTGCCCGGACAGAGAGAGAGACAGATCCTTGAAAACCAACCTGGGTTCTATCCTGCAAAAGGATGCATCGACAGACTCTCCGAGGGAATTTGAAACAGCGACACTGCTTCCACCAACCAACAATGTTTGTGGTCCTTGACCTGAAATCCGCCTTTGATTCTGTGGACTGTCAGGCACTATGGAAGTGTCTGTGGAGCAAAGGTATCCCCGTTAAATCCTGACGCTCCTTAAGGCGCTGTACGCCATCTCCTGAGGACGTGTGAAGGACGGGGAGCTCTCGCCTGGGTTCACCACATCAAGTTTTGTCAGGCAAGGCTGTCTGTCCTCTTTCACATTTCCGCTTCATTTTTGTCATCAATACGATTATGGAAGATTCTCTACTATCCTTTAATGCCTGTGGGGTCAAAGTGCTCCGGGGCGTCATCTCTCAGATATCGAGTACGCACGGGACATAGCTCCTCTTGGATCAGGCGCCGTCGTAATGCAGACAATAATTAAGTCTAAATAACTATGGCTCACTGTTTGGCATGCGCTCCACACCTACCAAGTGCTGCTACAAGACTGACGGGGTTCAAACTCTACCCTCATGCTTTCGGACGGGACGATAGAAGTAGTGGACAAATTTGTCTATCTGGGCGGCTATGTCAGTCCCGGTGGTCTCGCGGTAGACAATATTTTCTTCTGGAGTGGGAAGGACAGAGAAGCTTTCATGAACCTGCATCACCTGTGCCGTAGGCTTGATATCGGTTTGTCTGTCTGTGGGTCGAGTTTATAATGCAGCGGTGCGCTCCGTATTATTATATGGGCTGGAAGTCTGGCTGCTGCGCGCCGAGAACGCCAAAAGACTTTCAGTTTTCAACGATCAATGTCCTTAGAGCATTGCCCGAGTCTGATGGGAACACTGGATCGCTAATGCTGAAGTATGTCGAATAGTTTTTGGAGGAGGTAACTCGCCCACAATAGATGAACTGATCACACTCCACAGGTTGGGTTGGCTTGGCCACGTGCTGAGTATGCCAGTCGACCGACTTCCCCTGAGGACCCTCTTGGTACAACCACGCGAAAGGTAGAAACGAGCCAGATGAGGCTGAACACTGACTTGGTAGCGAAGTATGAAAGCCATTACCAGCAAACTCAGCTGTGCTAATCATTGCCGCCTTCCTGAATAGGGATCCCGAGATGAACCTCATCACCAGTTAGAGACATTGTCAGATATACCCAGTTCCACCGCCTTCCTGAATAGGGATCCCGAGATGAACCTCATCACCAGTTAGAGACATTGTCAGATATAACCCAGTTCCACATCCAAGCTATCGCTTTCAATGCATAGCTCCCTCCCCAATCTCCCAAATGAAAATCCACTGACAACCCTTTATTTACGCATCAATTGTGTCAGCTACCGCTTCCTACTCCACCTACCCCAGATCATCGAGGAATAAAACTTTGGCAGCTATAACAACTGTATGACCAGTACACGGTTCTTACAGCTGATAATGATGATGATTATGACGCACAGTCTTCACTGTGAGCCACATGGACATTCAACTGAATACCTTGTCGTCGGTGATAAATCCAAAGAAAGAACTCCGGAGAGTGGACGGAAGGAGACAATTCTGAAACTTTCTGCATGCCCGAATGGTGATTCATAGTTGGAAACTGATAGCTGAATAGTTGCGACAGAGTAAACGCGAGGTTCTGGTGGCCTGCACCACTGGTGAAGGTGAGATGCATCATCATACGGTTTGGAATATACGCTAATATAACAAAATTCGTTAAAAAGAATAGTTGACGGCACAGGCCAACACAGTTTAACATAGCATAACTTAAAAAATACTGTAGAATACAACACAACGCAATGAAGTGCCAAAGTTACGATATAATGCGTTAAAATTATGAAATAACAATGAATATACAGCACGAACCGGAAATCCGAAGAGGTAGCTTTCAGTGGCGAACCATATCAGGTTCCTGCAGGCCTGGTTGCACGAGTTATAGATAATTTTTTCAAAAAAGTGAGAGGGAAACAAGTATAATGTTTCAATTAATTTATTTTAATGACCACTTGGTGATCCGGTTGTTAGGCTGTGAAGGTTCTCATCCTTCAGTACAATCAACAAACATAGATGAAGTGTGTGCAATAAATATATCTTCCAACAAATCATCAATCGATTCAGCGCAGTCGGGGCAAGGGGACTTCCTGGACGGTTTCGTAGAAGAGACAGCCAGCTTTTTAGAAAAATGTTCTTCGAGGAGAGTGACAACCGGACCAAGCTGTCCACTGCCGTTATCTCTGATAGACTGGGATCAGAATGAATGGAAGCAAAGTAGAAATATTGCTTGTATCATAAACACACCTGAAGAAACATTTCGGGGATAAAGTGATGGGTAAAAACGTACCATGTCCAAGAAAGTCGACGCACTAAAAACATTATTCGGCAGCAGCCAACATCCAGTGAACCCACGATTTCATATATTAGTGTTAGTGAGCATAAGTATGGGAACCCATTCAGTTCAGTTAGGACTAGAGATTAGTAATTCCCTTTAGTGCACCGAGAAAGTGACAGTTTATCCAGAAAGAAAAGTGTTGTCCGAAAAACTTCGTAACTCCACCTCGTCGCAGTTGAAGCAGGAAACCTGGTACGAACTAAAACACTCAGGCAAAAAACAGGATATTTGAAGAGAGCGTACTGCATGGTACGCGCGCCGACACATAACTTGGATGCGCGATGATAGCATCAATACAATACTGAAGCTGTTCGCGTAGCAGACGGACCAACTGTGGAACAGTGCCGATGTAGTTATTCTGACCAATTTTCATCACAGGCAGAACAGCATGATCAACAGCTCGTTTCATTGTCAGCCACATGACTCTGTAGCAGGAAAACAATTACTGCATTCCGATACCAGGGCAATCATAACTGAAACCATCATAACTTCGATTTTAGCAAGACACGGCTATGTCGAGGATATGCACGTGACAGGATTAACAGGCAGCTACTGTATGCGGAAAATCCACATGAAATACGAAGAGCTCAATGGTTTATTGGTTTGCAACAACTGGCTGTCACTTCAAACAACAAAATATTAAAGGTTTAGACGCAATACACCACTCAGAAGGTTGTTGAAAACTCTCCAAGAGCGTACGACCAGGTAGGCACAGTCCCCGAATTTTCGTCAACCTTATGTCCTACTTTTTTGAGGACTCTGAAAATACCTCACTTTCGAGTGTAGTGGATTGATTTACTGGAGCCACGCGTTAAGCCTATTCATCTCGGTGTGGGCCCAGTGGCAGCAATCGCATCCAGGACGAAAATGATAATGAACACATTGTGAACAAATTCCATCTCTCACTTGACATCACATCCTGATGGTTGTTTCCGAAGTAGCCATTTCTGACCTGATTAAGTTAAATTTCACAACTTTGACCGACTCATTATCAAAGGTTCCCAAAGTTCACGCTTTTGAAAAACTGACTATGCAACGCAGAACTACTGAATCAACGTACAGGTGCAACGGTGATACTACTGATGGGGAGGCACGCGAGTAGTATGTGTTGCTCGTAGAATTTCGCTTTGCGTCTTTTGAAAAGGGGAGATGTGTTGCTTAATTCGCGGAATCACTTTGTAACACTTGCTTGGAATTGACCGAGGAATGATTGGAGTCAATGAATCTCCAGGAAAGTTCAAGAAGACGCGTTCGGGAGAAGATGGGTGTCCAGTTTTTGTAAATAAGATGCAAATTAGGGGTTTGCTTCCCTGTTCAATGGTTTGTAACGGGTCAGTTGGCATTTCCGAATAAATAACTCCGCGGCGAAGGCCTTCTTCCCTTCATAGGTAGTTGCGGATGAAATAAGTGTGGTTAACTTTCAGAGGTTCACCATTTATACGTTGCTGTCTCTCATATCCGGCTAATTAACCAATAACTAACAAACGACACTGTCAGTGTTACGGTTCGGTCACGCAGCGAGCAAACAATATGAATATGCGGATTGTGGCAATACTCTATCCCCAGCTATGTTGCTTGATACAGACTCCTAGCACGGCGAATAGTAAGAAGACGAGAACCTCGGACACAAACTTTAATAATCCAACAACACACGATCAACAGGCGATGCCCGGAGCTTCCGAACCCAAGTCAGTGGAAAGAATGGTATCCTGTACGTGGTCGGATCTAAATTTCCTTGGAGTATCAATAGGCCATTGATTTTTCATAGTTTGACCTTGAAGATGCCAGGAGTTCGCTAGCACACATAAAAACAGCGTTTTCTGGGGGATATTGATATCCCCAACAAATGCTGACGGGAAGCGAATTGGTAACCGGGTACGCACGGTAGCATAATCAGAGTCAAGTTGCGTACCCAGGTAACTGATACCCACATGGTCCAATTGTGCCCTTAACCGTCTTGCGGTTGAGGCCCTCAAGCAACTCGATCTGAGTGTTTGCTCTGGAAGTTCGTACTGGCTGGGAACAGACAATGATGTGCACACAACTAAACCACTCGCTCAACGCTATCCATGCGCTGAGCATTGACTTCAAATATACCCCTTAGTTGTGCTTCTCTCGGGCTTAGTCGTCCACATTGGGCATTCATATCATGCACCCATGTCAACGGAAGAAGGCATGAGATCTGGGATACTGCCAGGTTGCTCAAACCAAGATAGCCAGAGTTCGGATTCGGACCTCGGACCTTCCGGTCAGTAAGTTCGCGCTCTAACCGCTGAGCTATCTCGTCCATCTATAATATGCAGACGACATGCTTCTAGTCTTCGAAGAGCAGAAGGCGCAGACGCCTTTGGATAAACTAATCAAAGTCCTCCGCCCCTTAAATATGCACTTTGCATGTGTGTAAGGTCATGCTACTGGACGTGCAATCAGTAAACACACCACTTACAATCCAGGTACAGGCACTAGGGATTATGGAAACAGGAGCAGTTAAGATACTGATGTTGGATTCGAACCACGGACCTTCCGGTCCGTAAGCTGGCGCCTTTACCACTGAGCTATCTCGAGCCCATCATCATCATCATTATCAAAAACAGCAATATCAATGTTGACGCTGCTGCTTCACTGCCGTACGACCACAAGGTTCGTCTAATTATATTTAAAACCCTAGATTCAAAAGAAGAGAAAAAGAGTTGATGAGGGAGGGGACCTAGTGCTGGCCTATGTCACGCATTCTGAGGTGCGTGCACCTCCGAACGCTCAATCAGACAATCTAAAGAATCTGACAACACAAAGGCCACTGACATCGATTAACCACCATTCCTTGCAGCGTCTCCAGACAAACACAAATGGGGTCACGGGGACCCCATCATTGAAGGAGTACAACACCCAAACTCTTCGTGCTCTCTTTCACGTCTTTCTGACAAGTCCTGCGCTGTCCACCTCGTGGTCTGCTTCATTTTGAAGGAGACACGATGAACAACACTCGTCTCGGTAAACGGTTTTTCGGCATGCGTGCCACATGACCGAGCCGTCGTAGTTGGTAGTGCTTTATGTTTACCCCGCACAACCTAATACCCGTTTTGTAATCACCTCGTTACTAACGCGCTAACGCCATTCAAAACCATTCATGCTTCTGAGACATCGGGGGGGGGGCGAGATGGACAGTGGTTAGAGTGCGAATTTACTGACGGAAAGTCCGTGGTTCGAACCCGACCTCTGCCTCTCGGCTTTCCCTGTCTAGGCTTGGGCAGTATCCCAGCCCTCGCGCTTCCATCGTGTGGTATGGCAGCTAGGCACCGAAAGGGCGCTACGGCTAAACGATTCCGATTTTCTCCTGAGGCATCGCTGGTCAAAAACCTGAAAACACCTCACCACCAGTCCACAGGAGCTACGTCTCGCACCCTTAAAACAACACAGCCCTTACACGCGACCCTTAAGATCTAGTGATATGTCTGTTTGACGCCAAAGTGACGCAAATTATGAAACGTGATTCGATCCTTTGAGATTCTGGCACTGACTCCATCAGACACATTTCCGTTAGAGCTAATACAACTACCGAGGTATGTAAAATTTTCCACAATCTCCAATGGTTCTCCTTGAATTGTATGGGATATGTTGGCAAACTGCACGCTCTGAAGCATGACTTTGCACTTTGAAGGTACAAAGCACATGCCAAAAGATGGCATGATGGTGGTTACTGTGTTCAACAGGGTTTGTGCTTCTTGAAGGTCTTCGAAGAAGAGG